GTGGGAGACAAATCTGGGGCTCACTCCTTGTGTGGTGCCAGCTCTGCTCTGTGCAGCTGAGTGGACAGGAACTGCAGAATAAAGTTCAATCCTACCTTCAAGCAATTCCCAAGGAGCTGATGACGCTTCAGTGAAATCCTGGCCTGGGACAAGGCTGTCCTGCCTGTGGATCGATCCAGGTGAGCGCAGTGCTCTGGGCTGGGAGTGACACTTCCTGCCCTGCTCCCTGTCCCACGCTGGAGCCCCAGGAACTGGGATCAGGGGGCTGGGGTGGCTGCAGCCCCCTCTTGCTCTGGAAGGGAAGCCAAGATGAGCCCAATTCCCAGGGCCTGTGCAGGGGCTCCCTGTGCAACAGCAGTTCAGTGTTTTAGTCCCTGGCTTCTGGTCCTCTGAGGACAATACCTTGGTCTCTCCCTTATTTTTCACACACTCACATCCTGCTCTTTTTGCCCCCCCTTCGGGGCCTGCATTTTGCCAGTGCGATCTTCCCACTTTTCAGTAGACCAGGGATCACTTTCCAAGGTCCCCAGGACATTTCTGGAGCTGACCCATTACTGAGCACAGAGCACAGGACAAAGGAACCACAAAGTTTTTAGCACTTACCACATGGCATTTTGTTTTCCCACAACAACTTGCTCCAGCTCTTCCCATCTCAGAAGATTGTCTTCGTTCAGCCTCCAAGGATTCTGTGAGGAGATTTCACACCCACAAATCAAGATCCCAAACCCAGAGGGCTGCCTGTGGAGGTGGAGCAGTGTTGGCTGCTCCAATGAACTTCCTCCACGGGCCCAACGTAAAAATAATGACATCACTTCATAATCATCGTGGGCTGTACTGTAACAGTGGAAAAGTCCTTTTGCATGTCCAGAGGCAGGAGACTGTCTTGGTACAGGCTGTGAGACCTTAAACTGCACGCTTGTGTGGGGGGCTGTGACTGGGATTCCAGCAGAGAATGAGCCTCCTTACACATAAAAACTCTTCCAGAGACCAGCACTGAAAAGGTTGGAAGCTGCTGCTTCACCCCATGGTGTCAGAAAAAGAGAGAAAACACAAAATGTGTTTCCCAAAATAATGATAAAATTATTCCTTCTGCTTTTAGTGGGACCAGGGATAACTGTGCTATGGAATGACAAAGAATTTCTCCCTCAGACCACCAGAGCTCCCTCCAAAAGCCAAACTGCAGCAGGTCAGGATGGCAGGGCACCTCTGCCTCATCTGTTAGGGACAGCACAGCTCCTGCTGGTCCCAAGGGCTGGGAATGTGGTGGGAGCCAAAAGCATCTTCCCAGGCCAGAGGGTCTTTCCTAAAGCACCACCTCTGGGAAGCCAAGGGTTATGGAAGAAATGGAGTGGTGATTTACAACAAAACCAAGAAGAATAACAACAACAATAATAATATTGGTGAAGAGCAGCAAAGGGAGCAACTATAAGTCCAAGGGAACAGGAGGGATGCTGAGCTTTAAATGGGATTTGGGTGAGGCAGCATCTCCCAGGATTTCTGAAGCATAGCTCCAGCTCTGGAATTACATGATCAGTGCAAAGTCCTCCTGTCCACTCTCTGCATTTGCCTCCTGCTAGTGCTTGGCACCTCAGGCATGTTTTGGGTGAAAGTGCTCCAGTGCTGCTGCCTGAGGGACCAGGAAAATGGGCATTCAACCACTTCCCACAGGGCTGACTCTGAGCTCTGTGCCTTTGGCACCTCAGGCTTCTCAGTAAAACCAGTTTCCATCACTGTGAAAATACACTGAATAAACCCAGCATAGATAAATAACCTTTCTCCAGAAGGACAACCCCAGGGAATACACAACTATTCCTACACCTGGTCAAACACACCAGCAGCCAGTTCTTAGAGAGAGATTCCAGACCCTTGGCTCCCTCCCTGGCTGTAAAACACTTGCAGAAGCTTTGAAGTTCATACACGCATATCAGGATTTGGATACTTGGGCCTTAATTTAAATTCCATTTACACTGAGGAATTGGAAGTGTCCTAAAGGCACCTCCACTCATACTTTCCTTCTAAGCTTCTTTCTCCCACCCATGAATTTTGCTGTTCTTTTGTCAGGAACACTCCACTCTGCTTCTTTAGGCATCTCCATTTGGGAAATACAGTATATGTGGAAAAAGTTTGGAATGCTGCTTCCAACTACACCCTTTTATTTTAAGGCATCTCCAAGGGCTATTGTTTGGGATTTAATTCCTGTGAGGGAAGACTCCCTTGGCTTTAACCCTGCTGCAGGCCATGGAATGTTATCGTATTTTCCCCTAATATTTTGAGGTGCTGCCCTGAATTAGTTGATTTCTGCCTCCCTCCCAATGGTGTTTCCCAGCAGTCCCTCGGCATCTCTTGGGCAATGCAGCTGTCAGAGGTCCCTCGGGACTGTGGGACAGGCAAAAACCCCACAGCAAAGGAGAACCTGGATTTGGGAGATAGAGAATTGAATGGCACCAGTTTGAGCTGTGCCAGTCCAGGGAATGCCAAAGGAAATAATTCCAAGACTCCTCCAGTGGGAGTGCTTTTCCTGGATGTGTGTAAACACAGGCACAGTTTTTTACTATAAAGTGAGTTACTGAGATTTGGGGTTGTTTTCTCAGTTCCCTCTGTAAGTTTTCCCTCTCTCAGCCCCACTGGCCAAACGGGAGGTGCAGCAGCAGCTCCAGGGCTGGAGCTGTTGGATGGGTTTGGGAGCCCAGATTCCCATCCTGGTGCAGAGGTGTCCTGCAGCCTCCTGGGGGGATGTCCCTGCAGCAGCACCCTGGGGAAGGGATGAGACATCTCCTGGCACTGCTGGCGCACAGGAACCCCACTGACTCCCACCTGGGGCACCCATTAATAATCATTAAACTTACTCCAGCAAGGGAAAATGCAAGTTCAACCTATTACTTTAAAAAATGTTTGAGCCTAGAAGGGGGAAATGAATCACTCTTTATCCCTAAAATTAGGTGTATATAAACGAAAACAAATTTAAGATGCTTAAACTGCAACAGCCTTTTCCACTGAAGTGTGTATAAATACATGGGTTTTTTCTCATTGTTAGAAGAGCAGAATAAATAACAGCAACTGTGTATTTTAAAATTACATTGTTAATAAAATCCTGGTACATTTACATAAATGACAACATTAATGTACAATTAACGAAGCATTGTAATATTACAGCAACAAAAGAGGACCTACATATTTGTACAGGTAGCTGGAGCAGCTACTTGAAAATACTTTCCAAGATCAAGCCTTCTGTGGTATTTCTCAGGCAGACTAGTGATAATTTTGAACCCCCTGTATGGCTTTCTGCTAATAAATAGGGTTATTGGAGCTGGTGATGTTCAGAAGCAGATGTGTACCTAAGCACAAAGGGAGTGTGCCCTGACCAACCTGTCAGCTGACTAAGCCTAGACTAAAAATCCTTATCCTTGCATGCAATTTGCCTCTTGTGTAAATCCTTTAGGACTGAGGCTGTGTCAGCTTTTGATGGATTTGTTGGGAGATGCTGTCATTCCTTCTCCTTCCCTGCATCTACCTAAACAGTGTCTATATTGTGCTTTGGAGCTTGGGCCCAGCTGAGCTTCCTTCTTTTCCAGTGTGTTTAATTATAATATTGATTAATTGTTGAGTTTCTAAGAAGGAACAGTTCTCCACTGAAAACTTGGTTTCCTCCACCCATTTAAAATGAATGAAAGGGCCTTGGTGAATGCTTCTGGTGGGTGCAAGCAAAGCTCAGTGGGAATAGCTGGAGGTCTTTTCCTTAAATCTCTTGATGAGAGTAAGGTCTGTGTTTTAACCTTCCTACAGTTGGGATTATTTGAAGTAAAAACACACACAAAAAACCATTGCTTTAGATTCAAAACTGTAGATTGAACTGTCTGCTTTTTCTTCTCCTAAGTCAGCTAGGATGAGGCCTTTTGGATCAGAAACATCTGTGAACAAAGGAAAAATGTGAATCTTGGGCATTTGAGTCGAGGCATCTTGTTTAAGGCTGCAGCCAACCCCCAGGTACCTGCTAGGTGTGCACTGTGCCCAGACCCCCTGAGGTAGTGTATCTGTGGAAACAGCAATCCAGGGATGAGGCTGTGGGAGTGGAGTATAGAGGTCAGAGCTGCTGATTCCAACTAGCTCCAGAAAGAGACCAAACCATGGAGCTCTGTGTTCCTCTTGGGGTCTTGGGGAGACTTTAATTGCTATTTATGCAACCGGGCAGTTTTTAGCATAGCTCCTATTACACCTGAGTCTTCTAGAAAGTGTCTTTTATGCTGTGAGGTCTCACAGATAATGTCCAGAAACAGGTTTTGAAGGTGAAAGCAACTGAGACTATCAGACCTTGACAAGTGAAAGGGCAGACAGTCTTTTTATATCTCCTCAAGATAAAACAAGATTAACAACTAGCACAGTGAAAACACACAACCCCCCGACTCTCCCCTCCCTGCCCCAGCTCGGTTCTTCATATAAGGTTTAAAGAACGAGTAATTTCAGAGTTAATATTAGTTTCTACTCAGCTTTGAACATCCAAAATATCTCTTTCAAGGTGCAAACAGTTTTGAGGGAAAGGTTATGTGAGTCTCTTGCCAGGTACAGACACTGGTGGTGTTACTGAAGTAGTTTGTGGCACTGGCTCATCGGATGGGCAGTGGATCAGAAAACTCCTTCTATGCAGCCTTTTTACATGGAAAACATCTGTTTGTGTGTGAACTAGGTGGTGTGTAGACACTTAAACCTATGTATTAGGCGTCAGGTCTAGGTAAAACTGCCTCTTTCTCTCCAGCCCTGCCTTGTGCTTGTGGAAAGGGCAGCGCTGATCTCTGAGGTTCAGATTCTTCCCTTGCACCCTCAGCCCTTATTTGTGCTGTGCCAGGGGCGTTTCTGTGACAGCAGCAGCACAGAGAAGCCAAGCTCTCCCTCCCTCAGCACCCTGGCCTGGGGGTGGCTGCTGCAGGGGGCTTTCAGCGAGATCCAGGAGGCAAACAGGTCAGCCACAGCTTTCCTGGTGACGAATCCCAATGCCTTGTCCCGCCTCACACCCTGGAGGTGACATACACAGAGTGCAGGCGCCCAGCCAGGGCTGTCTGCAGGTCCCTCAGTGGGTCCAGGCCCTGCACTTTGCTGTTCCTGCTGTAGATGAGCTGTTTGAATGAGTCCTGCTCCAGGAGGGAGCTCATGTGCTTGAGGAAGAAGCCCTCGCAGAAAGAGGCCAGTTCGGGTGCGTTGTGAATCTGAGGGAGAGAGGAAGATTTTTTTAGCCTTGAAGTCCTAAATTACATCCCTGAGTCTCTCTTTCTAATGCTTTTTCCTAAGACAGAAAAAGGACAGTGGGAAAGCACTGAAGGCAGGACCAGTGATGGCTGATAATTTCTCCTGATGCTTTTTGCAGGCACAGGTGTGAGCAGGGAGGCATCCAGGCTTTTTTAATTCCTTCCCCTGCTGGCCTGCTGTTGGCAGAGCCCCTGGCCTGCACTCCAGCCTCCTGCTCTTCAAGGAGCAGAGCAGCTGGCTGATGAAGTGGCCAAGGTACCTGTTTAGCTGTGACACACAACACTGCACTGCCAGATGGTGAGCACAGCTCAGGGCAATCAGGATACGGTTCACAGGATGTGAGCCTTGCTCCTACAAAAAGGAGATGGATGTAGAAGAACAGGGATATTATACTTCTAAACCATACTGGGTGATTTCTGGCTAGGATCTTCCCTTTGCTTCAGAATCAGTCAGGTCAGTAATGAGAACAAAACTCAAGTTCAGCATTAAGAAGCTCTGTGCACATACAGCCTGTTCCTGGGAACTTTGTGCAAATACTATTTTAAGGAAAAGTACTAAAGGCCAGTAGGAAATGTTCTTTTTCCCCTCTCTACCACGGCATACTGTTAAATTTTAGATCCTGAAAGAAACCAACCCAAGTTCCGTGGGAAAAAAACCAGCCCAGTGTGAGAGTCAGGAATTGAAAAGCCTCAGTGTGACACACTGCACACAAAATAAAAAAGTCATGATCAGCTCTCTGTTTCTTTTGCTTAAGGGATTTGATCCTGCAAAATTCCAGGAACAGCAAAGTATTTATGATTTATTGATAACATGGGTTATTTGCTACAGAGGTGAATATCTGCCACACAACTGGGTTTATGTTAATTCTGGAACTGTAAGGAATATATTCCAGCAGTAGGGGTCCTAGGAAAGGGTTTATTTCGTAGCTGCTGTGCTGTGATCAATGGCCCCTGCTGCTCCCAGGATTTGAATCCCTTGGGCTTTGCTGATGTTTGCAGGATCAGCCTGCTCAGACAGCTCTCCCGTCCTCTTCAGGGATCCCCCCTCAATTTCCCACGTGATTGCTTCAGACAGGAAAACACACTGGGGCTGTGCAGGACTTTACAGACTCACTTTATGGTGGGGTAGAGTCACCTGCAGAGAGGTGCCCGCCTGTGCTATTTACTTCCCAACAGGAGCCCGTGGGAAGAATCCTGCTGTTTCATTGGGATTCTTAAACAAGGGGGGTTGGCATTTACCTTTGCATATTTATAGATGTTCACAGAGTTGTCCATGCTGATGGTCTGGGCACAGAGGATCTCACAGTGTCTCTGGAGGCCGTCCAGCTGGAACAGGCTGGCAGCCGACAGCAGCTATGGGGACAAGAGAGAAGCAGCTATTTGAGATCATGAGCCTTGAAAGGCCTAGGGAAGGCAAACAGAACGGATCATTTCCTCTCTGAACAGCCTCTGACTCCCTGTTTTAATGGCCAAGTCCTCATGAAAGAGCAGAAAGGCCACTCAATGCTAAAGTGATTGACAGACACACTTCCCATCATAGCAAAGGCTCCTCACGCAGGAAATGTATTTGTGCTCCTTTCTGTCACAGAAGCACCAAGCAATGACGTTTTGAAACTTTTAAGCTCATTTCCAAGTGTTAAGTACACTCCTGGATTGGATGGGAGCTTGCTGTTAGCTCCCGGAGTTTGCCTTTCAGCTCTGTTTATGCCCCAGTGCACTTGGCAAGACTTAGAAGAAAATGCTCTCTCACCTCTAAGATATCAGTGGTGGGAATTTCCATAGATTCTGTTCCTCCATAGTATAAATACTGCATCAGCATCTGGAATTGGAAGAAGGCCAGGCATGAAGTTATCACTGAAGTCACAAGGGGCTGTTGATGGCTGTGCTCCCCTTCCTGAACAGACGGGAATCGTGTCCTATTCCGGCTCTCGCCTCCATTGGTGGCTTTTTTTTTCCCTAGCGTTGCAAATCTGCTGCTTTCTAACAGTCCTTTCTCTCTGGGGTTCTGAAAAGGGCCCTGCTGAGGATTTTAGGCTGAGGGTGACAGTGTGTCTCTGGGCAACACCGCTGTCCTTGTAAAGCGGTGTCTCAGATCCGGCTTTGTAAAGCCCGGCCGGCTGGTCATGCCCGGAGCTGCCAGCGAGCCCAGCATGTGTGTCCCAGGGACCTCCCAGCCACTTGCCTTCCCTGCTGGGCTTCTAATCATCTTCCAGCCTCCCATCAGGGCCAGAGGAAAAGGCCTAATTGTTTTCAGAAAGAGCGAGAGGCAGCTTTTCTGTTCTTTGATGTGCATGCGCTCACCCCCAGCCCAAACGGTACCATCCTACCAGGGACAGGACTGGATTTGGTGTTGGGAGAGAAGTGTCCTGGGTGCTGTGTAAGCAGGTGTGGGGCCTGCAAGCCATGCTTACCATGTCCCACAGGGGTAGTAACAAACTAAGCTGCTATTTTTAAACGTTTTCTAATTGTATATATTTGTATATATAACAATTACGGGAGAGCAAAGCTGCTTTCCAGTAGAACACTCAGATCTCTGGTGGCTCAGCATCCTCCACTGTAACTGAGATAGCATCTCCTTAACTCATCTGATTATATTTGCCATCAAATTGTTTAACTCTGTGAAGCATTTCACTGTTTCAATTCAATTCCCATCTCCCTGTTCTGTACCTTTCTTCCAAATCTGAAATGCAGGTCTGGAAATCTGGAATACCATAACTATCACATTTCACTGACTTGTTTTTTAACTTCGTTGTGTGTAACCTGCCTTCTCTCCATCATGAATAATCCTCCCGTAGGTCCATTAAATACATAAATGTCATAAAAGCAAAGTATAATTCTCAATTCTGACCCTTTCTTGACAGGAACGCCATTGATTTCTGATCCCCTGATCTGAATGAATATGAAGCCTCGTAATCCACCTGCTATAAATAATTTACTTTTGTTTAGCACAGCATGAAAATGGTGCTGTAAAAAAGTATGAAAATGGTGTCTTAAAAGTATAAAATGACTTCAGTAGAAGGCTATTTTCTCCTGCTTAATGGAAGAGCCTACTAAGAAAATAAGACTACAGACTGGAGGATTCTGTTTTAAGGCTGGTCCTACCTGAGAACTTTGGAAAAAGGATCAGAATACTCCTGAAATTCAGATGTATTGAAAGGAACTCCATTTCTACTTGTAAATTACCTATGATATTACATCTTACCTTCCAAGTAAGTGAGAAGATGATAGAGAATAAAGCAAAAGTAAAATAAGTTACATACCTTGAAAATATTGTATTTCATATCACTGATTTCAACAGTCTTGCTGCCGTGGCTGTCGTGCTCTGTTTTATTGGTCATTAGTGTCTTAAACCTGGAAATTGTTTTAAAAGATTAAGTTTAATTGCTGTGTTAGTGTGTCATATACTCATCAACTACTGACAAGCAGCCAAAGCAAGGGAAAAACAAAGATCCTTGTTCTTGTTTGAAAGTTGAAAATTGAAACATTTCTTTCAATTTAATGGTATTTAGTTAAGGGACAATTTAACCTACAAGTTGCTTGGGTCTGATCCAATCCCACCTTGTAATAGTTGGAAAACCTATTCCTATGCCAATAATAGAGAAAATAACTAATAAATCCAAGTGTACCAGGTCAGTGTACCAGGTGAGTGTGAGATTCCAGGAAAGCTGGAGTGAGTGTAGCTCTCACTGCAAACTCCGAGAGAAGGAAAGGGAACGGGTATGTAAAATCCCAACTACTGCACATATGTTTTAGGGATAATCAGGTTATTTAATTATATCCCTGGTTAGTGACTCACCTGTTAGATGCAGTAACCAGCAGGACTTTGTGTGCATAAAAGAGCTTTCCTTCTACTAAGAAAGTTACGTCAGACATTTCTTTGTTGTTCAGAAAGTGAGGATCTGTCGGGTGAGGGGAAAAAACAGGTGAATATTTTTTTTTAAACTGTGCATGTTTTTAAAAAATAAAAAAACACAACCACAACCACAAGAACTTCCCTGTGTAGGTGAGCACCTTACCTAGGCGAGCTGGCAGCATCTTCCGGATTTCAGGAATGCTGGGGATCGGGCTGCTCCCATAGCAGTGAGTGAAGATGGACGCAAGCTGCTGGTTGATGGAATCATTCTGTGAGGGGCATGGAACAGGTATTATCACTCTGTTTGGAGCAGGTTTCAAATGTGCTGTAACAGTTCACTTGAGGCTTAGAGCAACTGCATAACAACAGGAATAACCTCCCCACAGAGGGACAAGGATCTGAGCAAGTGTGTTCTGACAGAATTCTCAGCAACAGAGAACAGCCCGTCAGCAAAAGCTCATGCCCTTCTCTGGAACAGATGAGCCCACAAGTGTGTCCTCAGCAAGGTCTGATTTACACTTAGCTCATGGTCAGATCCATTTGGTTCCCAGTCTGCAGTTGGTTTTAGTCAGCCAGTTACATCTTTTGCTTTTAATTTAAAGGAGAGTTACAACGCATGTTGTAGTGACCAATTATGGAGGTATCAAGAGCTGGATCTGCTCCTCAGCTTCCCCCTGTCTGTGCATTTCAGGACTGCTTTGGGGGCTGTAAATGCATTTAGATAAATGCTATCAGGGCCATTTCCATACCATAACTCCTTAGGGACTTTGCACTTGTTCTTGTGCACAACCTCGTACAACAACAAAAACACTGATTTTCACACTGTCACAAACTAATACTTACTTTGCTGGTTTTGAGGATATCAAACATGAGCTGCAAGCCTTCATTAACCAGTTCTTCATTGTAATCCTCCTCTTTAATAGTGACAAACTCCCTGAGGAGGGTCTGTACTACGGAGTAACGGGACTGGTAGAAGGTTGTCCGCAGGGATTCGATCCACACGTGGAGTTTCCAGGGAACCCCTGCAGCCACAGAAAAGGAACAGTGAAAGATGATTTCCTGAAGTACCTGTGAGTAATTGTCCTGCTGCTATTACTAACACTTGGCAGCACTGGAGTAGACCATTACATACAAGCCAACAGCACAAACATTTTTGTTTGATATTGAAGGTGACTGAACTGGGTCATTGACAAATTGAGTTATCTACACAAGCAAAGGATTGGTACCAGGATCATAAATTGGAGCTTTATGCTGATTGTTAAGGACCACAGACTCCCTGTTTTGTTCTGAGCTTCATGATTAGTCAGAGCCACAAAATAAATTTGAATTGAACTTGTAAGAATACATAACCCTACGCAAACATGGTGTGAGGGGTCTTTTCTCCTGGTTACCTGTAATACACAAGCTTTAAAACTTCTCTTTCCTACCTTTACATCAGGTTTGTTCTTTCACCTTTAACCATTTAATCTCTGATTTTATTTATGGTTTTGAGACCAGCCTGAATTTTAGGTGTGAGTATCTGACAAAGGGATACGTCCCTTTGTTTTGATATGTGGGAACAGAGAATCCAGCCAAGAGTGAGGGACATCTCACATCAGGAATTTGTGAAGAGCCTTAAAGACTTCTTTAATTTAAATTACACAGCCTGGGATAGCTTTGCAGTTGGAGTTAGTGCTCCTGCAAGTGGAAGGGGCAGAGGAAAAAGCTTTTTATGCCTTAAATTTGCACAATGGTTTAAAAGGAAGAGCTTACCCAGTGCCCTGAGCTCCATGGTGATGTCCACGTAGCCATGCTCAGCACTGTAGTACATGGCCTCCTGCAGAGCCTTCATCCTTGTCTTGCAGAGCTTGACCTGGCCCTCACTGGAGCTTCCCTGGCTGGAGGTGTCACTCTCCACCCCCTCAGCCAAAATCTCCTCCAGGGAGAGAACATCTCCCTTCACTTGCTGGGGCTGGGTCAGGAGCTTGCGCAGGACGTTCCTGAAGAGAAGGAGGAAGAGATTTTACTTATTAATAAGTGAAGTATCAATTCACACAGGACTGTGGTGATTTAGCTGTGGGGATTTGGCTTAGTAGATAATTTCCTTCCCAAAGACAGACAGCAGGCACTATGGAACACCATTTAAACAACTTGTCTTTCCTTACCCCACATCCTCATGCCCTGTTTGTGCACATGGGCTATTACCCCTCATACGGTGGGTTTGTTTGGAATTTCACACAGCAGTTGCAAGAGAGAGACTTTCTTGTTTGTGTCCAGCCACTTTGGGAAGTTTGCATCATTGGTGTCCCTCAGCCAGCTGGAACCATCTGCTCTAGACATTCCCAATCCCAGCAAGGCCACCCAGCGCTCGGCTGTGCTGCTGCATTGCCACTAGCTGGTGCTCTCCTTGCACCCACACCACTCCCTGTGGCTAAATCCAGTTAATTTGGGTCTTTAGGATGGGAGAACAAACCTTGAATTTCAGTTTGCACGGTCAGAAAATGGTGGGAGGGGAACAGTGTTTGTGTAGTTTTACACTGTAAATAACTGCATTAGGCCGTTCCAGCTTTGCAGAGTTTGGGCCTCATTTGATCTTGGAATACTTTTCTGGGTGTATCCAGATGTGAGATGTACCTGGAGGTGCAGTTTTGTCACTGTAAAGCTCAGCTGGGTTCAAGGGAGCTGTTATTTAACATGCCATGTTGTACAACCCTGTGGGTTTCTCTCAGCCCATCTCCAGGGTTGTTCCAGGGCTGTTTTAATTGGCTTGTTACACTAACATTTTTCCCTGGGAACAGAAGGATTTCTGGACGAGTTTGAGAGTAATGACCTAGTTCTAAATAACTACCCTGCAAACAGGGTTGGAAAGCCCAGGCTGGCTGCTCAGCATCATAATGACTCATCTCTTGGTTGGCCATCCAAAAACCAGAGGTGCAGTCAACCAGATTCTGTTGCAGATTATTTTTGCCACCTTAACAAGATTAGATTCCGTCTCAGAACATGACCCAGGATCTCATAACCTCAATCTCATAACCTACCCTTAGGTGGAACTCAGTCTGCTCACACAGGCCCTAGAACCAGCTCCTGCTCACTCCTAGTGCCGCAGAGCCAGACCAGCAAGTGACAGACTAAGAAAAAGCAAAGATCTCTGTTGTATTTTGTGCTTTTGACTAAAATATAATACCTTTCTTTTATGAAAATTATAGTTGCTGAATAATGAAGTCTTGCATCAATTTTTTCTCAAAGGGATGGAAAAAAGAGCAACAAGCAATTTAAAAATCATGCCTAAAAGGCATCAGAATACATTGAGAAACTGTGGTTTCTCACCTCTAAAAATGGTTATCAGGAGTGTCCTAACACCATCTTCTGAGCCACACACCCTGCGATTTGGGTCACAAAGTCATATATACCCATATATATGGGTATATATATACACCATAGTGCAAAATACCCATAGTGCAAAAACCCCACCCTGTTCTGAACATAAACAGAGCCTTACCTGTGCCCGTGTGCTGCTGAGTGGCTGAAGCAATTCATGTCTTCGTGGAGAGATGAGGACATTCCATTGACTTCCAGCATGCTCAGGAGGGGATCTGCACCTCTGCTTAGCAGCAAACTGACCAACTCGTAATTTCCTGGGGAAAAATGGACAGAAACATTATGATGGTTCCTCTCTGGAAGCATAAAAATAGGAGTGGTAACAGGCAGGGCTCCTTTCTCTATCCTCATTAGATGGAGGAGTGAGTGGCAGGAGACCCAGCACAGTGAGTATCAATATCCCTTCAATAAATGTTGGAGCAGAGCAAACCAGAGAGACTCATCATAAAAGCACAAAAATGAAGCGGAAAGAAATCAAGGGAAAAAAAGTAAAACCAGTTAGAGGTGAAAAGTACTGAAAAACAACAACTAGCACAGACTTGTTCCCAGAATGCCCAACTCCTGACAGCCCTCTAGAAGAAATGCACAATTTTACTTGTACTTAATAAACTAATAAAACAAATTTCTTTACATAACAGTGATTTTTCCCCAGGCTGGATTTAAACTTGTTAATTTTTTTGCATCTGGATCTTACTTAGATCCATGACATGCCTGGACTAGGCAGGGCTGGTTCATGTTTCTTGACAGTGCTTTACAAAGGAGTTGGTGCCATCACCTTTGCTGTGGTGGCCTCTGGGAGGAGGCAAGTGTGGGACTAATCGCAAAAGCAGATAATCAGGGCCCACCAGGCTTGTGGAAGCAAGAAATGGAGCATGCTGGGGTCACAAGGAGCTCACCTGCAGCCGAGGCCAGCTGTAGGGGCGTCTCGGCGTAGTTGTCCTCTCCAGTGTTCACAGCAGAGCCCTCAACATGGGCACCAGCATCCAAGAGCAGCTGCAACAGGCACATGGAAGACAGGGAGGTGGGAAAAGAGCAATTCAGAGGGGCAAAACAGAAGGGGCTGTGTGTTAGGAAGGAAAACCAGTGGATTCACACTGAGGAGGGCACACACACAAAGGGCCCGCACACAAAGGCTACGGCAAAGTATTAGTTACGAAGCAAATTTCTCTTGCATTTCCTCACTCATTCCTCACCATGAATGGCAATTTACAGCTTTCTGTAAATTTTCTTTCGTTCACTGTGCTTTCAATATTTGAGTTTATTCTGGAAAGGGGCTCAGCTGGCAGCCTGGAGAACATCACCACCTATTTTTTATCTCCTTTATGGACGTGCCTTTGCAATTGTAATTTCCCAACTCCAAAGAGCTCTGCGATCAGAGCTTCTCTTGAGCACAGGAAGTCCATCTTACTTAGCTTCATGCTGTGTGCAGGAAGCGGGGTTCCTCCAGAGAATTAGCCCTGGAGCTGGTCATGGCTCTCGATCTGTTGCCCTGTGGAGCCTGCTGAAAAAGGAGCTCTGGCAGCTGCAGTGATTTGTCACACAGAACCTGCTTTCATTGAACCATTGAGCTGCCTGTGAGGGAAGAACCCCCTCCCAGATGAAGGGGACAAGGTTACAAGGTGATGGGGATGTTTTATGGCCAGGTGGGGCTGGCAGATGGCACAGGGGGTGGGACAGGGCAGGGAGGACCAGCCTTGTCCATGTGTATCCACCAGGATATTCTAATTGTGGGTAGTGCAGTCCAGCAGGAGCTTTGATATACTTGGCTTCATGTCCTGGGAGAATCAAACTCATATCTTACATGTAAATTAAGGCTGCCCAGGCAATTTGCCAGGTGGAATCTAATCTTTATAATTATTTACAAATGTACACAAATGATGAGTGTGTGCAGCCTCCATTTACTTATATCTTTTTTTCTTTCCCTTTGAGCAGAAGGTAAATTAAATTCATCAGCAATTGACTGCTGTGATCAGTTTGTAATTCCTATGGAAGTCTGTGTAGGATTTCCAGGACTCCACTCCATTTTGCTGCCCCTTAATTCCACAGAAAAGGGAGCAGGGAGGATGTGCAGGCTCAAATCCCATGACAGTGTAAGTCTTATTCATGCAATTTTCAAGGATTATAGAGAAAGTTACAGATGATTTGCTTCAATTAGAGCAGAAATCAGCACACACAGACAGAATTTTTGCACATGTAAATTTATAAACCAATCAATATCTACTGTCAGAAAGCTCCTGATCAAGCAGTCAAGCTGTAACCACTCCACATGAAGCACTACTTTGTCTAATACTAAAGAAATGATTGTGCAACATTGTTCTTGAAGCAGTAAGCCTTGGATCAATACTGAAACCAAAGAAAAATAAGGAAACACACTGTGTTTTGTTAGGAATTCTATCATCAATTTTCCTTCTCCTCATTTCCAAACATGCCATTTTTCGCTGGATTTTTAGGAGGCTCCCACCAAACTGCAGGTGGAGCCTGGGCCAGATCTGTGCTCAGGAAGGCTGAGAGTCAGGGTCACAGTGCTGCACTTCAGCCCCTCCATGCCTCCTGGAAGGATTCTCAACCAGAATCTTACCTGGACCACGGAGATGTGCCCATGTAGCACAGCAAAGGTGAGGGCAGTCCAGTGCCGGCTGTCAGGATGCACCGAGGGGTATCGTGGAGAGGTACTGGGAACCTGGCAGAAGGGAACCAGGCAGTCATTCCCCACTCTGTCTGTCTGCCACCATCTCTAGACTTGTACAGACCTGGCTTTTTCCTTTGTAAGTGACTTAGGCCACTTAGAGAACACTGCTACCATCAGTCCCCTGAGCCTTTTTAATGGGCTTACTGGTTTCTCCTCATGGCAGCTCCTTCCCCTCCCCCCACCCCCATGCCTATTAGACTTCCAATGCCAATCATAATTGTAGTCACTAAATTCTCCAAGACGTTTGGAAGGTTTTCTCCCCCCTCCAAAATCCCTGAAGACATGGTTTCTGAAAGAAATTCCTTGCTTGAAGCTTCCAGATCTGAAGCCTTTAGTTTCTAGAAGGAATTTCATAGCTGCTCCTATTAGTTTACAGATGAATAATTATGGGGAGAAGGTCCTCTGTTACTCACTGGTATATCTAAATTTGCTCCAGCATCTATAAGCATTTGGACCATGGCTTCATCTCCAGCAGCACAGGCGTACATGAGGGGCGTCATACCCTTCAGAAAGAAAAAGACAAGAAAAATCAAGTTATCTTTCTATATCTATCAACACTGACACTGTCACGGACACAGGGAGTTTGAATCTTGTGTGTAGGGACAGCAAAACACATGTTTTTAAAACAGTTTTCTATGCAGAGTGGGAACAACATACTGGTATTAGAAAGTGAGGTGGACAAAGCACCAGGGGACAAGGCTGCAAGAATACAAAAGGCATCACTGAAAATCCTTGCTGTGTATTGTCCACAATTCTCGAGGTTTCTCAAGGCTGCCAACAAAGAAACAGCATTTCTTGGCTCATTTGTAGCCAAATGAACTGAAAGCAGAACGCAACACAAAAATACAGAAGATGAATTTATTTGGCAACTTCTCCCCATTGCTAAAATCCTATTTGCCCCAATATTTCAGAATTTCAATCCCATAAATCTCTCTCTCTCTACTTAACCAGCAAACCATGACGGCTCAGAGATGAATTATGAGAGAAATGAGCCTTACTTATGGAGTTCATTCCAGAAGTAGCCAAGGACGGAAAGGAAATGGCCTAGTAAAATCCATTCCTGCTCAAATCCTATGACTTTCCCGCCCCCCCCCCCTTAATTATTGCAGGCATTTTAATTTTTCACAGGCAGCATCTCTGTTGCTTGGTGTGTAACAATAATACAGCTTCATCTTTACTGGGACCTGTATTGTAAAACAGAATTACATCTCTCACATAGGAGTTCTACTCCTGAATTTGCAAGGCATCTTTTCCAAGCAGGCACAGTTCCAAGCTTCCTGCTTTGAGGTAGCTACATGTACAAGTCTTTATAAAAAAATCTTCACAAAGGTATATCTGGGTGAGGGGGTTTGGGAGGATCCCCTCTCATTAGAGATAAGTAAACTGAGAATTTAAAACTCAGGTCTGCAGGTACAAGCCCATATTTACTGCCCCGGTCAGGGTTCTAAAATTATAGACTTACCTTTTCCTTTTTTTAAATTTTTAGTATTAGTTTTGCATTCCCTGCTTGTTCCTCAGTATGCAAAGGGAAGGAGAGTGTTTTCCTAAAAATCTCAAATCCCAGAGTGCTGCTCAGTCCCCAGTAGAAGGCAATAACAGGGTCCTGCTCCAAATTTGAGTTTCTGAGCACATGTTCTGAGTTCTTTCCAAAAATCTCCACACTCATAGATGGAGAATTGGGTCTGAACATGCTCACACTCTGGGAATGGTCAAAATTCAAACCTGAATCTAAAGCCTTCATGTTAAATTAGTCCAGCAGTCCTGTCTAAAGCTTTTGCTGCACATGGCAGGTGAGAGATGGTCACACCTGTCTGTGAGGCCTTGCAGGTGCTACCAACTGTGCAACCTGTTAAGGAGATGCATCCTGACCAAAAGAACCCAAATATATGAGCTTATACACTCTATCTTATGACAGGACCTGTTTTATCTTGTCAGTTTTCCCAAGGCTGGGCATCTGCCTTTGACTTATTCCTTTCCAGGAAGGGCAAAACAAACTGGTGGCAAAATTCAGCTTTGGTTTCATACTCCAGCTGTGGCAGAGCTCGCTCCTAGAACTTGGATTTCACTCTGTCTGGGGTTGGCAGTGCCATGAAGGATCAAGTGGAGAATTTCCAAGCAACAATGTCTCCAGAGGGGGCCTGTCCTGCCCTCCTTGGCTGGTGTCAAAACACTCTTTGTGTGGCAAAGATGACAGAGCTGCCCCGCTCACAGTAGGGCTGGTGAGAGGATCCCATCAATAGGATGGCAATGAGACCATCAATCAGTGACAGCAGAAACTCTTCCAACTTCCAAGGAGCTGTTTACAAGGGTCTCCACACATACAAAAGCCAGACAGCTCCCAGTTTTCTGGCTGAATAAGAGGTAGGAAACACCCCCCAGCGAGAAGTGACAGCCTTGGCACCACTGTCTGTGGTGCTGGGATAGTAAGGTTCACACAGCAAAATAATCTCTGAGAGAGCAAAAGGGCTACAGAAACAGGAACTGCAAAATTTATTTTAAAAAATTTAATACAGCAAGTGGAAAACCTTCATAATGTAAATCTGCCACCTTTGTCACTTTGACAGAGTGAATATAAGGCGCACCTATGAGGGGATACACACCTTTGTGACCAAAAAGCTTGTGGTATTGGGTATGTAAATAAGGCAACTACATACCTAGATATATTTCTGCTCTATTTGTCTATACATCCACACTTCCTCTAAAACTGCAGAATGGTGGGAAGTACCAGAAAAGATGTGCCAGGTTCAGAATTCAGCAGTAAAATGCTGTCTGTAAGAAAATGTCTCTACCTGAACATAAACCCTTCCCACTGCTCAATATCCTCTTGTTTCAGAGACATGACAGCTCATTCTCCTTGCTGTGACAGCTGTAACGAGTGTTTATTTGGGGGAAGTGGTTTTTTTTTCCTTTTTAAATTAAAAGCTAATTCTATGCACTGAATGATCCCCCAGAGGACAGACTCTGCTGTTACTTGATGGGACTGACAGCATGAGCAGAAGCAGCCAGAGATTCCCAGGACTACCAAATCCCTATGGTTCAATGGAGCAGAGAACAGGTAAAAATGAATAAACAGACACATCAGCACGATGGACTTTGAGCAAATCTAGTACTGACTGATGACACCACTGGGGTTCTCAGTGCTGTTTCTTGTATTCCAAACTGTTCCGAGCCTGAAAACCATCAGACAGCAACACCTTTTGGTCACTCATCACTGCCCCAGGCTGGATTTGGGCTGTTGAAGCAGAAGAGAGTGTCAGTGGCAAAACCCACTTTGTCTTGACATCAGACTTTCCATTCACTGCCTGCATATTAACCTGTCTGCCCTCAGTGCCTGAGACAGCCCATCCAAGGAACAGACCTACATTCCAGCTGATAAACGATTAATTCCAGCCTCTGATGGGTATTTTTGGAGGGGTGGCATGAGAATGAGGGGGGGGAATTTGAGGGGTTATTTTTTTATGTTTTCAGACTGCACTTTCAGACTAAAACATGAGGTAGAATTAGAAAAATCCTTGGAGAGGCAGCAAACACGACCTGGTGTATTGATTTGCCACATGGAAAGGAACATGGAAGTTGTTCATGCAGAGAATTTGTGGGTGTGTTTGTCTTCTGTGACATACCTGGTCATCCATGGTGTTAACCCCATCGGGTCCCAGTGCATCGATTGCTTGGTTGATCAGATCTGTCCTCCCGCAGTTCAGCATCCGGAAACCCAGATCCTGCTGGAATTTTTCAGTAGCAGCTTTAGCATCCAGTCTCCGGAAGGAACTAAAGCAGCATTCAGGTCTGTGGAAGACAAAATCATTCCTGGATGGTGCCCAAACCATGACAGGCACTGAGCAACCAGGGTTACTGCAGCAGGACTGAGGTTACTGTACTGTGCAAACCTGCAACAACCAGGTCTCCTTAGTCCTACTTCTCAAAAACCCCTGTATTGTTTTAAATAATTATCTATATATTTTTTAAATATCATATTTGTATTTTTCTGCCTGTTATGGTCCATCGAACATACATAAAACATATTGCAAGGAGGAGAAAGAGGTGGAAAGTGTGTTTATTATACCAGTATCATTCTAGGATGAAATAATTTTGCTGCCTGCTTACCGGACTAGCTGTTATTTTGAAATAAAAGACATTTCTGAAAGAAAATAGATATCCCTTAGTCTTTAATGGGGGAAAAAAAATTTAAAAAAAATGAAATAAAAATGAAATTTAGACAGCGGAACACTCTCAACTCTTTTCCAACGAGAAAAGTGTGTTAACATTTCTACAAGGCTCTCCTAACTCCTTATCCTTCAGATGAGTTCAAACAACCTTTATCTCATCTGCATGGAGCCCAGGGATTACTGTAAAACCCTCTGGTTGTCTGCTCACAGACTCCTGAATCCAAACCTGGAAGTGTATCTCCTTCACTGAAGAAGCACTTTCGAACTGGAGTTTTCCTATCTCAGCTGGGCACTGATATGGTCAGGCCTTTGATGTTATTTTGGGGTGATGCCTCCACCACCCGCCTGGTTTCCAGCACAGCCTCTTGTGCAAGCTTTCAGTGAGTGAGATATCACCCTGCCAAGTTCCTCTGATAAATGAGATGCTTCCAGCACAGCTAAACCTCTTCTGGAAACTCTGGATGGCCTTGCCAGAGAAACAAAACACTCATCACTTCACATAGAAGATGCAGGATGAATCTTATTCACATTTTAGTTCAGCTGGTCATTTTTTTTCTGAGCTTGCATGGCTGGTGGATGACAAATGGTGAGCAGAAGCTGTGAGCAACGTGCTGAGCAGGCAAAGATCCCCCCGCAGCCTGGGGACTGGTCACCCTTGTACTAGAGCAACCAGCATCTCACCACAGCTGCTCTGAGAAAGGAACTGCAGCAGGGCACAATTTGGGGCAGAGTCAGCAGGGAACGGAGCCACTGGTTCTTTGGAGATACAGCTGCAGTAAAACGTGCCTCTGTGGCAGCTGAGCTTTTGAAGGCAAGATCACTGAACTACTCAGATACTAGATCAGGACACAGCACAGAGCAGAAGAGGACAGTGGGGTAAAAGGCCTAATATGCTGGACATATATAAGTCTTACAGCTGGGCTTTAATAACCCTGTTCTACTAAGGTGGTTGGTACAGTATCACGGTGCTACAATATTATGACTTTGTATAATAGTAAGAAGAAAGAGAAAAAGAAGAACTCTGTGAAAAAAGTGAAATAAAAGGACACCTCTTGAAATCCAGTGAACCTCAGAAAATAAGAGTTTTTGAAGGGATGGCACTTCACATATTTTTCCTGTTTTGCCAACAGGCATAATTCCACCCAGAGCTATTGTCAGGAGGAAGAACACTCACTGACAAGCCCTGCAGAGCCACCAGAGAAACAGAACAGAGGTGTCAGGGACCCCGGAAAAAAAGGGGGCTGTAGTTCTCAGTGTAGAGCTGCCAAGAGGCCAGCTGAGGCACAAGAATTTGAAGTTATAATGCGTGAGCTTTGCTGCTGGGGACCCACAGGCTCAGGCATGCAGAAGTTCCTGTTGTTCTAGAGCTGGACAGTGTGATTTTCTCTGATGGATGCAAAGGAATTTTTTTGTTTTAGAATGTGATAAAAAATCCTACAAGAGCTGGGGGGGAGAGCTCACTGCTCGCTGCTGAGCAGCAGCTGTAACCACAGCAGGATTTCCATGTGTGAGTTGTTATCCTGTGGAGAAGAGAGGGAAACCCTTGCACGCTTCCCAGAGTGAAGGCTGTGCTCCTGCAGCTGCCCAGAGAGCAGCTCCTGTGTCCAGGGAAGGGACTGAAGAACTGGAGGTGGGCTGGGAGGAATGAGGAAGGCAGAGCTGGGGATGGGATAGGGCTGAGGTGTCCTAGTTTGGGAAGGGATATTTTCAGAACAGAGCAGGAACCTGGTGTGCTCTTTGCCTTCCATAAGCAGTAACTACTACTGGAACTACTGGAAACAAGTGGGTTAAACAACTACTAGAATTAGTGGTAGTAAGTGATTTAAACTACTACTAGAATTACTGGAAACAAGTGATTTAAATTTGCTCTGCAGTGAGGAAAAATAATAATAAAAACATTGTGTGCTAATAATATTAACCTCCCCAACACTTATATTTAAGTAAGTGGAAGGGAAATACAGCTCTCTGAAATCTAACATTTCCCCATTTAGATTCTCATTTAACCAATAACAGGTGAGTGCTGAGGATGTTTACAAATAAATCATCTGGCAAACATAAAACAAGAGCATCCTATTAGAAGGCTTCATCCACTGAGACTCAAACAGTTGTTGTGGAGGACTGTGGCGGAGAATAGATATTAGAGGTCTGAATTTTAGGTTATACTAATTATACGCTGTTTTTCTGCACAACTTCTCTTTCAGGGATGTCAACATACCCTACCTGGTGCATCACCACTGCAAGGAACATCATTATTATTATTTAATAAACAGTCTTTTAGCCTGTGCTTCATGAGGAAAAGGAAGTTTCAATTTGCCTACAGTCACGCAGCAAGCCAGGGATAAATCAATCAATCAATCAATCAATCAATCAATCAGTTCTAAGATTTCCTTTCCCTCTAAATGTGCTGGATACAAAAGACTGCTTTAAAGGGTGATATAAATGGCACTGGGAATGACGGATTCCTCTCTCTTTTTTCTGTTAGTTTAAATCTTTCATTCAAGGTATCCTAAAAAGCAAAGAATAATCTTGTAATTAAGGCATAAAAAAATCCCCCAAATCTTTGTTTTTCAGTCATTCTCTGTCTCATTCTTACTTTTGGCAAGACAAAAATCTCTGCTGAGTTTGGCCAAAGCTTCTTTACCTCTTGGAGTACCTAAAGGTTCAACAGGTGTCACCTGTGGAGTATTGTGAGCTCTGGCTCACGTGAAATGCAGTAAGAAGAATATTATGAGTCATACAATTACTGTAGGTGCTTATAAAGCTTAGGCCACGTACTTGAGCTGCCTGGGCTCGCAGTCCAGCCCAGGTAGGAGCAGCCTGGCTGTCTGCCTGATGTCATCACTGTCCACGGTCAGGCTGCGCCGGTGCTCGGCGTAGGTGATGGCCACTCTCATCCACTCCATCAGCGGGGGCAGGAGCATGAAGGGGCTGTGAAAATGAGAAAAAGCCCATCATTTAACACTGCCTTATGCAGAAGAATGCTTCATTGCTTGCAGGTTGGAGGCTGGCATGGGTAAAACCCACCTGTGGAGGCAAACTGTGCTCAGAGAGACTGGCAGGTCACAGCAGGGGGAAGGAGGTGGAACTGCTCAGCCTTGGTCATCTGAGCAGCTTCTTACCAAAAATAGGGCCATGCTGGTCTCATTTTGTACTGAGCCTGAACAGAAGGGACCTCCTTCTGCTGTTCTTAGCTACAGGTCAGGCCCCTCCAGTGCTTTGCTTTGAATCAGAGGGGTTCTCACCTCAGCATGCAGCTTATATAACAATTGTGTCCGTTCTAAATAATCCATACGTACAAGCTGCTCCACCACCAGAAACATGAAAAATATCCTTGATGGTTTGAAACTTCAGTTAAGCCAGGCTAATTCAGTCCTACCTCCATTAAGCTTTACATTACCATTATCTAATAGCTTTTCACATCCTACATTTCTCAGGACTCCATTTTTGCCCACCTGACCCTCTAGAGCACAGCAAAACTGGTGGAGCAGGGAGGTTTGACTCCATGTGAAGGGTTTCAAGGCAATAAAGGGATATAAATAAGGTAATAACAATAGCACTGGTGATGAGCCCCCCTCATTCCCACAAGAAGAATGAGCACAATACTGAGACTACACATTAATATATAGGTACCATAATACTCATACACAACATATCTCATCCACCCTCTCAATAAACAGCCAGACCGATCTATTATTTGCTTGATTTTTCCCCAAGGATACCTGCCATCCCAGTGGAAGGCTTGGAAGTGCCAGCTCTCCCATTTCCAGTAATGACCTTATTAACAGTGTGAAAACAAAAAAGGCTTTTCCATTTAAGCATTCAAAAGAAAATAGGGGAGAAAGTACCGATTTCTTTACAAAGTTCAGAGAGAAAAAAGATACAGATGAGGAAATATGAACTGATTTGGGCATTAATGAAAGCAGCTGAAGCCATGAAAGGCATTTTCAAAGCTCTGTGTGTGTACATGTGCACTCTCGTGTGAGAGCAGTAAGAGTGAGCAGCACCGATCCCGTTAGAAATCCATAATGGGATTTGCAAGCAGAACTCCCTTTGTTATGACTTTGAACACCCTTGAGGGTGGAGTAACTCCACTCTGTAAAATATGTGCTCTTTCCGTTTTACCAGTTTCAATGTGCACCCTAAAATGCTGCCATTGTCACTTTGCAAGCACATCCACTGTTTTTCCCCTCTTCTTCTGTTCTTCTGAGTGGAGAAGCAGCATCTACAAAATCAGAGGTGTTTTAAGCACCTGATCCACCCTGGATTGCCAAGACAAAGGTGTTTTTAACAGGACTGTTGTTACCCGTCTATTTGATGTCAAAGAATGAGACTATCAGGGTTGCTACATTTATCACTTTGAAAATCACCCAGTAGCTCGTCTGAAAAGAATGGGATGGGATGAATCACTTCAGCCCAGCCAATTCAGAGCTGAATGACTTCCCTAAGGGAAGAGCAGCAATTGTCAATAGGCATTTGGGAGCTGCCTTTCAACAGCCTATTCCAGAGAACGTGGATCCTTATCAGGCCTGCAAATGAGGCATTTACACTTTTTAAATTCAGGTCCTTAAGGGAGGAGCCAAAACTAATTATTTGTACTTTCTGTGTACTCCGAGAGTCCCTAGTATGGGACTCAAGCTCTGTAGAGGACAGAGAGGTAGGCAAGGGAGGCTAAAAGCACCAGAATTAAATACAGAATTAAATTACAGTTAGATGGGGTGAAAAGCTCAGGAGCACTGGAAAAGCTCATCTTCCAAGCAATTATATCTGCCACTTTTTATGCTAGATAAAGATTTAGGCCACATCCCAGCTTCCCTGACACTCCCAGTGATGGGAACACTGCTGGACAGAGAACCATGTGGATCCAGCCCTCATCATACCTTGGGAACTGTTACTCATGGCACTGGTCAGCCAACAGCAAATACCACGCAGTCTGCACCAGAAATAACACCTAAATTTCCATTCTGTAAAAAAATCCACATGTGCCAGGGTTATAAATGGCTTCCAAACAAGCCATTTGAATGTGGAAAAACCTGCTTGGGGAGGAATGGGAAAGAAAAAGGATTTTTTTTTTTGTTTCTTTTTTTAATCTCAACAGATTTTTCCAAAGGCTTTAAAAGTGACAGCTCAGACTGCCTGGTTACCCTTTGTCCAAAGGGAAACAGGCTTTGGATTGCAAAAGGCAGCGTCAGGAAGGATGTTCTCCTCATAATGCTCTTCTGATTTTCCAAACCCCACCACTGGTATTGCTGTGCAAGTTGGATAATTCATTCTTTATTATCCATTATTCTATCAGGGGTGACAATAATGACTCCAATTGCTATTTTGCTGTAAAAACTTTACTTTTCTCCCAAATTTCTAGCTTGAGGATGGGCTTTCTATTCCTCCCTCCACCCTTTTATCCGGCTATTTCCTTTCTCCATACTATAGGAACAGCTTTATCTTTGCTCACTGACACTCCACCAGCTAAGCAGCATTATCACAGGATCGAAGCAGAAAGAAGAAATACTGGATAAAACACCCACACTGGGTCACATTGCACTAAGAAAATAAATGCAATTATTCATTTTTTAGAAAATAAAACACAATTCTCATCCCTGTGGCCCTTAACCTGGGCATCCATCTGCCTCCAGGGAATCACTGATCATTTCACAGTCTGAAAAACACTGCAGGAGGGGAAGGGGAAAAACCTTCATGGAAAATTAACTGGGAGATGCTGCAAGCTAAAGAATTCATTTCTGTCTCTGCGTTCCTGTCTGTGCCACATTCTGCAAAGTGCCATTTTCCTCTGGTCTTTCTGACATTTAGAAGCATTTGGCAGCTCATTAAATTCCACACATGAAGTGATCCAAGCCTTGGGAAACTGTCATATTCCAGCAGCAGCTCACTGGGGACACAGACTCTGTGATGTCTGTTACTGTCATGTGCTGTCAATATTCCATCCATAGATTCTTTGAAATTCTCTCCATTTAGAACTGGACAGCCACTCCATTCCCAAGGGGATCAGGCCGGAGCTGGGTGAGATGTGCTCTGAGAAAGGCTGGACTTCACTGTGGGCTTTTCCCCCTCATTTGAACTAAACCACATTGTTTTATTAGACATAACCAAGGAGGCCAAGCAGCACTTGGCAGAGATTTTATATCAATTTTATACTAGCTTTTTCCTGGAAAAAGGTACTGGCATGTGGAGATCACATGCAGCATCCTAGAGGAGAAGCTGTGGGATCACAGATCTCCTGAGTACCAGTTCCTCCTGGGGAGATTCTGTCTGGACACAAGAGGAAAACTTTCACAATGAGAACAGTCAGCCACTGGACCAATTTCCCAAGGGAAGTGGTGGATTCCTCAATATTGGACACTTTTAGATTTGTCTGGACAGGATGCTTGGCCAACTTGCTTTTGCCAAAAAAGGCTGGACCAGGTGATCCTTGAGGTCCCTTCCAAGCTGGTGTTCTATGATTTATCCATCACAAGGAAACCAGCCCCCAAAGTGGGTTCTTCTGAAGGTTTTTAAGAGTGCTGGGATCCAGGTATTTCTGGCAGAGGGAAGTTAATTGTATGCAAAAAGGAAAGAGCTCCAGAGGAGTCAGAAAATTATGTCATCCCTCCTCTGCAGTGAATGCTGGGACAATGCTTTGGAGCTTCACTCTCAGAAGTGAGGAATATCTGCTACCTCAGGTGAAAACAGTCAGTTTTCCCAGAAAAAACAGACATGCTGTCACATTCCTTCCTCCTCCCTGGGTCCCCAGGAGGGTCCTGTGATTAGGTTGCTGAAGAATCACAGAATAGTTTTGGGTTGGAAGGAACCTTAAAGATCATCTCATTCCAAATCCAGGAACACCTTCCACTAGACCAGGTGGCTCTAAGCCCCATCCAACCTGAAGGAAAAAAGAAGCAAGAAGGAGACATTTTCCCTGCAGCCACACCTCTTCTCTGCTGTTTTTCATTGCCTCCTGTTTTGCTCCAGCAAAACAAAGCAGGAGCCAACAGTGACAGCAACAGCAAGAGAGAAAAACCTTGTTCTTCTAAACAAAAGTCTCCTTCTTCTAAAGCAGGGAAGAAATGAGTGTCCTAATGGAAGCAGGTGAGAATGGCAAAATTCACCTCACTCTTGGCAGCCTGAGCAGGTCCTGAGTCACACATGCACAGTCTCCGATCCTGCCTGTCCTATGGTCTCCTAAATGCTCTGAGTGAAAATTTTCTCTTCCCTTCATCTGTAACTGCTGCTCTCTAAGTCCCTGATAACATTTTAAACACACACAAACTTTAGCATCACAAAACGTGTAAGCATCAGAGTACTTTTGGTCAGAGTGGGGTTGTCCATGGTATATCCCCATATTTGATTTACTGGAAATATACAGATTCTACTGCAGAAAAGAACCCCAAATCTTTAAAGATCAGTGTGTGTTATTGCAAGGGACTGAAAAAAAAAAATAAAGAAAGGTTTTCAGTACACTAATGTTTGAGTTTAATGCTGGAACCAAACTCTATGGCTCAGTCCCACCTTGCCCTAAAAGGAGAGAGCTCAAAGTGACTAAGACTTTGCATGAAGACGGAAAAATCCCCAGGATGGCAGCAGAGTGAAAAAGAAATCAGAGTGAAGTCTCATTAACTGGAGAAGGGAAAAGACTTTGAGGCAAGACAGAGTATCCAAAACCCAAACCAGGTCATGCTTATGTGGAAATCAGTGGCATATTTATAATTTGGAATCTCAAACACTTAAAACCCTTCTTCAGCCAGCAGGAAAAAAATAATATCTCAGAGTATATAATTACATGTGAACAGAACAACAACAGAAATGCTGATTTAGAAGAAACACAAAATCTTTGCTCCAAAACACAATCAGTCTCAGTCACAAGCCATTCCTCACAGATTTAAAAATATTTTACAGAATTTTAAAACTTCCCATATTTACAGAGAAAAGATAGGAAT